TTCCTAGGGACTTCGTCCTGCTGCCTCACTGGTATCTCAACAAAAACCAATTTGTTAACTCCCATTCCCACCATTCTATTTTTCCTCAAGGAACAGACCAACCACCTCACCTCAATTAGCAGAAATGTTACCAAACACTCCTCAATCCTTTGAGGGTTTGCTGCAGCAGACACAATGCTGTAATTTTCTGGACTCCTCAAATTCTGATGAAGGGGACTTAGAAGCTATTCCCTTTATACAAGTTTTACATGTTCTGCAATAGTTCCTGTTCACTGCCACCACTATCATCCATCTTCTCATTCTCACACGGAGTATTTAAGAACCTGTCCCGTTTTTCCAACTTCAAGTCTCATAGTGGCAATACCATCTTCCACTTACATTGCTAATAACTAATCGTTGCTACGCTGTGCTTGAAGCTGTCAATAACTGAACACCTCAGGTTTAAATTCCAAACTCCTAGCATGGTACTCAAGACCTTTCATAAAGTGGTCACTGCTGTATTTTTCTCTGCCAACCCCCTCCCATTTCTCCCAACCTGTCAAAAATCACAGTATCTTAAAACACAGACCTTTGCCTTTTAAAATCCAAAAGGGGCGGGTTTATTATTTAAAAGAGGCTATTTGCAAGATAGAAGCAGGCAGAAAAGCTGTCCCTGAAAGGGGAGGTCAAGCAGACCTCTTAATATATCACTGCCTACCTTCTGCCATACTCCTTTGTACCATCTGCCTTCTGAACACTCAGCAAATACTCTTCCAATGTCCAAGACCTCAAACATCCACTGTTCATTCAATACTGGACATTACCTATGCAGACTGACCACTCCAACACTCAGAAATCAACGTAAATACTTTGAAAGATTTCAGAGAACTTAAGGTCAAGTCAGATTACTTCAATTCTATCAATCCAAGTACTATTATTTTTGTAGGCCCAAATCAATCTCAAAGTCAAAGCTAATGGCGTCCACTGCAAAAGTACCTTCATTTAATGACTCCTGAAGTGTGTGCACATACAGAAGGAAGTGACTGCGAGCCCTCCTGTTCTTTTACTTTTTTTTAAACTTAATACTAAAAAATGATCACCCAGTTGAGAATTAGAAAAGTTCTACTAGGAACCAGTGGCAAAAGGCAGTGTTCGCAGTAGCTTAACAAGTAAATGCGACACATTCCCAAGTCTGTAGTAAATCACTGATCACAAGCCTAGTAAAAATACCTTAGCACTTCAGACATTTTTTAAAACCAGAAATTTATTGCGTGACTGCTGAAATCCTTAAGATGAACTGGAAGCTGCAACAGCGGCCCTCTTGGGTTTAGGTGTTGTTCCTTCACGGAATCCATGCCTGCACCACATGAAAAACAAAATCCATTACTTCAGAAACATGTATATACATTTTAATTCTTGTCAAAACACTTCAGTGAGCTTATCTCAGTTAAATGCTGAAATCAATGTAGAATTCATATGTTCAGACATTTATTTTTACAACATCACCGATAAGCTGCTACCATTTTATTCCTCTATTTAAGTTTTGTATCTTAACTTATTTGGCACTCACACTTATTTTAAGAGATAGGTGTTGTCTCCTTATTAAAGATTTGTGAAGCAAGGTACAAAAAAGTTGTAATGTACAGCTTCAATTCATGTCAGTGATACCTACATTCCACCAGCGGCCACTCAATAATAAAATAGTAATAGTGGACACTATTACTATTACTGTACCAGAATCACCAAGCTCATGAACACTAAACACTTAAGTGTGGCATTTACAAAGCCTCCAAATGCCTGATCTTTTAAAATCAGCAGCTCCGGAATCTGTTGAACATCCCACACTGCGGAGGACAACCCCTACCCTCCCAGTCTCTTCAACTGAACCTCTAGCTAACCCCTTAGTGCAGTTAAAATGCAATTTCCCTGCATTTCCCACTTCTAACACAGGTTGCAGGCTGACTGAAGTATCTTTCCACAGAAGTGCAACAGCAACCACTGTAGTTTTTATTTATAGCAGACTTGCCCAGAACCACAAAACAAAAAAGCTTGAGTCCAGGTCTTATTCAAGACTTAACTGTGTTGACAAATTTTGGTTTTTAAGTGAAATTTGGTATTACTAAATGTCACACTTCAGGGCTGGGAGGTCTTCTGGTTCAGCATGTTCTAGATATAGTTCACTGAAAGCTCTGCTAACTACAGCAGCAGGAAAAAAATCACCCCAACACCTCCCCACTAACCAAAGAAGCACCTTCACAGTACAGCACCATCACAGTACAGGAGTAAAGAACCGGGCGCTCACAGAACTCATCATGACTGCCACCTAAACTGTACCTGAATCTGCGATATACAATTTTTAGGTGCCTCATTCGCCCAGTCCCGGTGGTATTTCGTCTTTTGGCCTTGGCACTCCAGTTATCTAAAACACAAAGAAGACACATTCCAGCATACAGAGGCACCATTTTCAACCAGGTACCTAACCCTGCCCGAAACACTCTGCACTTTGGCGCAACGTAAATAGACCGAGTCCAACTCCTCACGCAACTGGCCCGGGCAAACTCGACTTACACTTTCTCTTCCGCTTGGCGGGGTAGCCACACTTGCCGCAGGTCGACTTCTGAAGGTGGTAGGCCTTGGAGCCACAGCGGCGGCACAACGTGTGCGTCTTGTTACGACGCTTTCCGAACGATGACGTTCCTTTCGTCTGAAAGTTAGAGGCAGATTAATTCCCAATCAATCAATCCCTATGTATTTTCTGCCTTTCCAGAAGCCTAGCACTGAAAACTCAAACTATACGGCTGAACTCTTATTTGTGAAATGCTTTGTCACCGGCATTTCATGTTTATCTCGAGCTTTCCGCCAGAGTGGCTGTTCTGAACCTGCTGATCACTATAAAGATCAAATAAAAGCGGTGGGCGAGACGGAATAAACAGCATAGCTTTGCTATATACCCCAAACCTAAGGGCTCCCACACCTACGATCACGGGCTAATTCCTTTGCTTACAAAGCGAATTACTCTCCAACCACATGGGGTCCCTCAGTTCCCACGCGAGGGTAAGGATGTGCCGGCTCCTTTAAAGACCAGATCGAAGAAAGGGGCCTAGAGCTGCAGCTACAGCCCCGCGACTGCCTATTTGGCATCCCCGGTAATAAAGAGCCGTCTTTCGGCTCTTAAGAGCCATCGCAAGTCCTTTTCCTGCCCGTCCGCTCCCCTCACTAGGAACTTTCTCAGACACCTACGAACAGGAAGGAGCACGTTACAGGAGAAGAGGATGCAAGAAGATACTTAAAGCCCTCACAAACCACTCACCATCTTGCTTCTGCGGCCGGGACCAAAGAGGCCGGAAGACGATGTACTTCCGCTATATTGTGCTCACTAGTTTCCGCCTAAAGAAATACTTCCGGGGCGTGGTGCTCTGTTCTCAAGCTTCCGTCACTCCACTTGAGTGGGTTGAGAGGAGGAACAGTGCTAGGACGGACCAATCCGAGGTTCCAGGGCACTGACGGGGCCCGCGTTCAGCTTCCGGTGACCCGGGTGGGCGTGTCCTTGCGGGCTGATCTGGCGTCCCGGGGTCAGAGCTGGCTTTTCGTGCTGCTTCCGAAGCTACCTTCTCGTTGTCTAGTGACAGCTGTGGCCGCAGAGTAGCTTCCTGTCCCTGAACCTTGAAGGTCCTGGCATGTCGCCTGCCCGCTGTGGAGCCCGGCTCCGACCCGGCGCTTTAGCCGGGCTGGTAGTTGCGGGGAGTGGGGCGAGGAGTTTCGGATCCCGATCGCGGGAAAACCTGGCTCCTCCTCCGTAGGGCTGGAAGCTTTTGGCCGACGCTGATTCTCAACTGAGAGTTCGGAAGCTCCGACCTCCTGAACAAAGTGCCACTCAGGCACTACTACCTGGTTTAGATGCTCATTTAGTTTCCTGCCTTAACAAGTTATCATAAAGACAAAGGCAAATGATGTTTTTTGTCACTGGTAATTTGCAGGAAAATGACTTGATCCCAAATTTGATACCGTGTCAGGGTATCCCAGTAGCACATTTCCATGTTGATTCCTGCCTCTAATGTGAGGCTGGTTTAGCTAGCCAGAAAGTCTGTACTTCAAAAGCACCATGTGGGTTTGAAATTAAGGTTCCCAGATCTCTTTGATAACCGCTAATCCCATTGTGACCTGACCCAACAAGACCCACTTTTGCAAAACGAAGTTTAAAATTCACACATTTACGAGTTCAGGGGCTGAGGAGGGAAAATGAAGAAAGATCGCAAGTGACCATATAATGTGCTTTCACAGGAAAACACGAAATGCTAGTAACTGACTCATAAGTAACTGGGTGGTCCCTAGGAAAAGGGCAAGTCCCAGGTTCCCTGCCCCACCCAAAGATAGGGTGGAACTGAGAAGAGAAAAAGAGGAGAAGGAATCTGAGGAGGAAGGAAGAAAGATGCAGAGCCAGGAGACCAGAGGAAGCCACATGGAGCAAAGGGAGACGTGCAGAAACCGTGATTATTTCTTGGCCCTGGACTTGTTGAAAGCCATGTGGGTGAGAGACCCATGAGAAGATTGACTATGGCAGTGTTTATCTTGATTTTGATTTTGCTCTTTTCCTCCCAGATTTGTCTGCCCATTTCTGACCATTTTCTATGGGTCCCAGCCAGAAGGTGCTTTAGTCTTGTGGCAGATTTTCAGGTCTTTTGGGTTGACTTTTGTCCACGAGGTGACGGGAACTTCAGGTGTTTGATTTATAAATTATATTTTTTGTCTTTGTATTGTATACTTAACTGTATTAAAGTTCCTTTTCATTAAAGTCTTATATGTTTTGTCTTGATGCAGTGGATGGCAGAGCCTATTTAGAGCAGGCAGGTTTGGGGGTTTAGGGTGCCCCTCTCCCTGCCTTGTAACAGTAGCAGAACAGATGAACTCCAGGAATCAAAGATTTCATTTTGACAGGTCAGCAGTTGATTAGTGCCTAATAAGTACTAAGCCTGTTCTAGGGGTTGGTAGTGGAAACATTAACAGCCTTACTGAAAGTGGTTAAATAGGAGTTTTGGAGGAGCCCCTGAGGAAACGTGTGCTGGAAACAAACTGCAATGCAGGAGCTACCTGGATTAGATGCTATTTTAGTTCCCTGTTGTTCTAACAAGTTACCATAAACTTGGTGACAAAATAAGTTTAATCGACTAGTATAAAGTTTTAATTAACTAGTCCATAGTTGAGCAAGATGAGTCCTTCCTGGAGATACACTGGGCAACACTGTACCTCTAGTTAAGAGTATGGTACAAGATAAATATGTTACAAGGGTAGATTTCATGTTGTGTTCTTTATTTTTAAAATTTATTTTTGTGTAGAAGAACTGGGTGTACACCAGAGGTGTGATGTGAGAGGATTCACCAGAGACTGAGTGGGGAGACAGCAGGGGATCCAGCTCTGGCCTTAGGGGTGATAGGGCTGAGGCTAGTCCACCAGAGAGGGCCTCATGTTAACTATTCTCATAGAAGAAACACATGCGTGCACTCACAGTTTACAGGCCGGTCGAAGTCTGAGTTGGGACTCAGTCTAAAATAAAGTGTGGGGAGGGCTGCATTCCTTTCTTGGAAGCTCTTTAGAGAGTGTTTTCCAGGTGGGAAAAACGCAAGGGACTGTTGTGATGGTGCATGGGTGAATTGGTGATGGGAATCCCTTGGGGACAAAACATGAGTGGATAAAACATACAATGTGTGAAAATGAATGATGTAAACAAAAAAATATGTAAAATTAAAAAATAAATTAATAATAAAAATAAAGGGGAAAAATACTCAAAAAATAAAAATAAAAAGCTTCTAAAGGTTGTCTGCATTTCTTGGTGTATGGCTCCCTTTAACTGTCAAAGCCAGTAAGAGGCATTCTTTTACTTTCTGCTGCCTATTTCTACTTGTAAGGCCTGTTGAATTTACTAAACAGGGCCCTCCCTGGTGGTGCAGTGGTTTAAAGCACAGCACTAAGAAGCTAAAGCCACTTCAGCATGAGTTCGAACCCCGCCCACCCGGGAGGTGACCCACATGGCGTGGCAGACCTCTCCTCACCTGCCTGCTGCTCTCCTCAGCAATGAACCTCATCAGTCAGCCTGTTCTGCTCCCCACTCTGTCTCTGGTGGATCCTCTCACCACCCCTGCACCTCTGGCCTGTACTGCAGTTCTGTCTGTATAAATAAATCTTTTAAAAAATTAATTAAATAAGGACACCAACTAGACTGAGGTGGCTTTGACTTTCTGGTGGCCTATGGAGGCAAACTAAAACCTAACTCTATAAATGCTTCAGTGTTTTAAAGCCTACAAAGCTTAAGGTATAACCAATTTCCTTGCTTGCTTCCACATTTTCTGCATCTTTGCCTATGACTGGAGAGTGCTTCTAGTCACTTCTGGCTTTGGTGCTGCCCAAATAACAAGGTTTTGCTCAAATAAATTATTAAAGTTGTTGATATGGCTCAGATTATCTTTTTTTTCTTTTTAATATGTTTATTTTTACATCATTTTGTACATTTTTTTTACATCTCAATTGTAATCCTGGTGGATTTCCCACAGTTTATCTTTTAACAGCCCTTTATGATTACATTGGTCCCAATGAGATAATTTTCTTTTACTAATACTGGTTGATTTGCATTCTTAATTCCACCTGCAACTTTAATTAACTTACGTATTCATAGGTTGTGGTGATGAGATCATAGTTACTTTGGGGGCTGACAGGCTGTTTTTGTTCTGCCTCTCCCAAATGTTACAAAAAAAGAGTGGAGTCGAATGGTTAGGGCAGGTACAATCACAGAGGATCCTGGTAGCAGTGTGACAGCTACTAAGCGAGTCTCTTTTTAGAACAGACACTCCAGAATTGAGATATCAGAGGAATGAAATCTTTTCCTCTGCTGCCTGATGTCAAGTGGTCCTTTGGTGTATATATATATATACATATATATATATATATATTTTAAAGATTTATTTATTCACACAGAACTGGGGTACAGGCCAGAGTTGCAGAGGGTGAGAAGATTCCCCAGAGACAAAGCAGGGAGCAGAACAGGCAGATCCACGAAGTACACTGCTGAGGGGAACAGCGGGCAGGTCAGGAGAGGTCTGCCGGGGTGGGCGGGGTTCGAACTCATGCTGAATTGGCTTTAGCTTCTTAGTGCAGTGCTTTAACCTCTGAGCCACCAGGAAGGGCCCCCTTTGGTATATTTGAATCCACCACTTTGGCCCTCAACAGATGAACCAGTCCTTGACCAATGAAGTTATTAAAACCTCCAAGTTCCCATTTAAATGCCACACTTAGATCAGGAATAGATGAACTCTGAAACAGATCATCTATGCTATTGCCATGGGTTTCATCTGACGCCATTTAGTCTCCTACTGGAGAAAGTGGGACTGCATAAATCCTGCACCCATGGTTCACATGAAGTTCATCTTTCTTGATCACTAGGACTTTTCACTAGACATGCTTTAAAAAAAAAATATTTATTTATGTACAAGAACTGGGGACAGGCCAAAGGTGTGTGAGTGAGAGGATTCACCAGAGACAGATTGAGGAGCAGAACAAGCAGATGTACTGAAATACACTGCTGAGGGGAGCAGCTGGAGAAGTCTGCTGTGCTATATGGGTCACTTCCCTGGCCAGTGATCGAACTCCGTGCTGCAGTGGCTGCAGATAGCTTCGTAGTGCTGTGCTTTCACCCACTGCACCATCAGGGACGGCTCTAGACTTGTTTTTTCCCTACAATAAATGAAACTACTACTAACTTTTCTCTTTTTAAAAAAATCACTTTTTTTTTTTTTTTTAACTGCAAACAAAGTTTTTGTCCTGTGTCACTGGATTTAATTTGATAGGAGTATTTTCAAATCTGTATCTCCTGGTCACCTTTCCCCCAGTGCCAACTGCTTTCTAAGCCTGTGCACTATATATTTCTGTTACCAAGAAACTGAATTTCAACTAATCCAAGTTTAAAGTTCACTACTAAATAACCTATTTCAAAGAAATACTTTTTTTTCCATCTGTCTAGCACTGAATTTCCTGAGACAGGATGTTGTGAGAGAACGTTGTAGAGCAGATTCTTTGGGCCTTTGTCTCATTGTTTCCTGAAGATAATTTCTAAAGGTGGAATTACTGAATGAAGCATATGGATTTTTATTTCCCTCTACTAATATGTATTGCTGCATATTGTCAGACTTCCCTTCAACAACAGTTACATATACCTTTGTTATCAGCAGTTGAGCTAGGAGCAGCAAATACCTTGTCCAGTTGACAGGAAGAGCTGTCTCAGAGGAGTTGACCTTGGGACTTAGTCGTTATAATAAGTCTGAGTCAACTAAACACAGGCGCAGAGAGGTAGGGTAGGATTCCTCTCTGTTTCGGCTTGTTTGTGTCTCTTCTGTCCAACACGAGGCATCGGGGACGAGTTAAAACTTTGTCGACTGTAACTGGCTGCTTGAAAAAAATAACTTGTATTTACACAACGAATGTGCTGATTTTAAAACCCACATCCTGGCTGGGAAAGAACAGGAAGAATGGCTTCCGAGAGTGCTCTATCAGAGATCATAGAAAGAGAAAGAAAAAAATTAGTTGAAATCCTCCAACAAGATCCTGATTCAATCTTAGATACACTAACTTCTCGGGGACTGGTTTCTGATGAAGAGTATGAGTCTCTGGAGAATATTCAAGATCCTCTGAAGAAAAGTAGAAAGTTGTTAATTTTGGTGCAGAAGAAGGGGGAAGTAAGCTGTCAGCATTTTCTCAAGTGTTTGTTTAATGCTTTTCCAGAGTCAACTTCCATTCAGGATTTAAGGCACGGTAAGAAGGATTTCTATACTTTCTTGGGGTAACAGGGCAGGGCAGATTTCCTGCAAAAAGGGAATTTTAGCCTTTTATCTTTACTTGTATTTTTCCTAGAGGTAATTTTCACTTAACCATGATAAAGAGGGAATGTGTTCAGGATTTAAAAATGACTTTGGGGCCTCCCTGGGGCACAAGGGGTAAGTCTCAGCACTATGAAGTTACTGTAGCCACTGCAGCACAAGTTTGATCCCCTGCCAGGGAGGTGACCTACATGGCACAGCAGATCTCTCCCGTCTTGTCCACTCTTCCCTTCAGCAGTGTATTTCAGTAGATCGGACTGTTCTGCTCCCAATGGTGACATTCACCTCACTCTGGTGAATCCTCTCACCCCTAACACCTCTGGATTATACCCCAGTTCTTAAATGCATAAATAAATCTTTAAAAAAATAAAAAGATATCTTACTTGATTTCAGGGATTGGCAATTCCTTCTTTATAGTATATCAAACTGTGTAATTGTTTTAGTGTCAGTAATATCTGCTCATTATTCTGGTAATAGCATATTGAATTACGCGGGATTACGGTTAATGTTGAACCAATCTCAAGTTCTTTATCAAGAGAAGACAGGGTTATTAAGAACCCCAGACTAATAGCTGCATTGTTACTTAGGAGAGCCATTTTGAAAATATAAGAACAGCAACATTTGATACACATAGGTCAGTTTTAGTAATTATAATTTTTCCTGCAATAAGAAAGCCATTAGACTAGTTTTCTGGAACAAATCAAATGCTTATTTTTCACTGTTTAAAAATAAGTAGTGACAGTAGAGAAAGCAATTCTCCTAGAATGAACTGTATACTCTAGTTATTACATTATAGATATGTGTAATTCCTTTTTAAGGAAACTAACAATATTGATGATAATTTTAAGATATTTTAGGCAGAGATTCAGATAAAAAGGTAAATGTTACTGCAGTGTTTTCTAATAAGGGGAAAGATCCATATCATTTAGAGAAATAGGTCTTATTGTTTCTATTCCAAATTAGAGTTATTTGCTTTCTGATTAGACTTTTTAGGGGGGAAAAATGGAAGTTATTAGGATCAGATTTCATTAGCAATGAACCTAGGATTTGGGCTAGTTTGAGCTCAAGTAAGCATTGTTCATATAATTCAAATTTTCTGTTCCACTGATTTGGAACAGTAGGAATATGATCTATGTTTTTTCAGGGGGAGAAAGAAAATTCTGACTGTTGACTTGCTGTTATTTGTGTAGGAGGTCGTACCTAATTTTATCCTCCAGTAAAATCAGAGAGATGTTATTTGAGATCTTAGAAATTCACATTATCATAAAATTTCCCATAATTAATTTGGACAATCAAAACAAAATAACCCCAAATTGTGCTTGTCCTTTTCAGAATTTTAACTTTTTTTTTTCCAGAATTTTTAAAACATGAGAATATAGAACCACCTCTTCAGTCCATGGGTGTAGGCAAATATTCCGAAGATTGTTTTTACCCTGCAGGAAAACAGTCTGAGAATCCTGAGATCACAGTTACCTTAAAAGATAAATATGTAGATTCTGGCAACTTCAAGGACAATAAAAGTATTTACAGGGAAACCGCTTTGTCCGAAAGAGTAAATGAGAAGGATTATAACTCACCCCAAATCACAGTGCCATATTTGGCTGAGAATGTTGAATATGAAGTTCCAGCAACTATTGAGTATTTACAAGATGGACAAAGATATGAACAGCCAGATGATTCTTTATACTTAGGAAAAGAGGACTACCTAGGAACTACTGAATATTCTGAAGATGCAGACACCACTGTGGATGAAGAGAATAATGATAACCTAGAGAACATTGTCTATGATGGTGAAGAGGACTCTGCATATTCAGAAACCACAGAGTACTCTGATGAACATTGTGAAGAATCAGAACACAGCATATCACTGGAGGAGGAGGAGAAACGTATAGAAGGTATGAAATACATTCTATAGAAGGTAGACAATAGGTAGTAACTTATTTATAGGTTGCCATTACACAGTGGGGAACGGATATATAGAAGGACATAGATGTCAGCAAAAAAACAGCTCCACACCTTCATATCATTTTCCCTCTGTGAATGTGTTTGTTTTCAAATTTCCTCCTTTAATAGGGGTATCAGTCCCTTTTGAATAATGGCCTCACTTTAACTTGATAGACAATGGTAAGAATTTATTTACAAATAGGCCACACTGTGAGGTACTGGGATGTTTAATATATCTTTCGCACAGGTGGGGCACAATTTAACCCATCCCACCATCTGCCACATCCTGTTGGAGACCTTTGTTCCCTGATGATGGATTATTGGGGGGGCAGAACAGGCATGGTGTCAAGGTGGGAGCAGCATCAGCTAGTGGAGATTCCTAAAAAAGGGGGAAAAGGAGAAAAAAAGGAAAGGGGAGTGAGGAAGACATGGGAATCGGAGTTGGGTGCAAGTCTATCTGTTCTGCTCTTAGCAGAAGTTTATTTTATACATTAGGAGCAAGCAGTGGGATGACGTCAGCACATGAACTGGGTTGAGAGATTACAGTCATCTTTTTTTTCTAAGAATAGTTTGGGGTCGTATTGTCCTTCAGCACATGAACTGGGTTGAGAGATTACAGTCATCTTTTTTTTCTAAGAATAGTTTGGGGTCGTATTGTCCTTCAGCTAAGATTATAACATCTATTAAAGTTAGGATAGGTATACATAAATTCTAAAAAAATTAAGGCTAACATTGTTATACTTACCACAGTGATGATTAGCTAAAATAAAGTCCCTTTAAACCTTAAATGCTACTTAATGATCTTCATTTTCATTGAGACATCTTAGAGGGTAAAGTCGAGGACTAGCGTAGAGGCTGGACTGGAAATGTGAAGGGGGATAAGAAGAGGTTGTGGGTCAAGGAGAAGTTGTGAAAGAGGGTAAAGTCAAGTCAAAGACTAGGCTGGAGGAGTTTTCTGGTAGATAAATCACTAAGGGAGATAGTTAAGATTCCTCATTTAAAGACTGAGCAATAAAAGCTTAAGTAAGAGAGTAGAGTGATAAGATTTGGGTTCTGGTCTGGGCAGTAAAAGAACTTTATTTTTTAGCATGGTCTGGTACTGCCTTGTCTTACAATATTGATTTTGTTATAATTGTTTTTATTAATCAGCCAGTTGTAATATTTTCTGCTTTCTAGAGGAATTTCCTGTCTTGAGCAGTGCTTGCTCACCTGAGCCAGGCAGCGCCTTATTAGGCTAAGGCAATCTGGTTGTAAGCTGATGGTTGCTTAGAATACTTTGATATTACAAAAAAGGGAGGTCATAACATAAGTTAGTGTGGAAATTCTGATTTTTCAGAGCGCTTCCGTCTCTATCCGGAATATGTCAAGTCGATAGAGGTTGCATGGCTTGTGTCAACACCCTGTTGGCCAAAGTCTGTCATAAACCAGCACAGATTCAAGGATTGGGAAAAAGAGACATTTGCTAAGCCAGAGCAATGTTGCAAATGATATGGATACTGGAAAGCCATGAATTGGGATTATTTTTATCATGCTAAATTTCATAACAAAATAATAATCAGTGTCAAATTAACATCTTAAGAAGGCTCACTTAAGTATTGCTTCCTGTATGCTAAACTATATAAAGTCAGCTTGTATATAGACTATCAATTGACTCACTTCCCTTCTAGATAATGGTTAAGTTCAGCTGATGGTAAGAGTCCATATATTTACCACTGACTTTCTTCTAGGAGTTACTTTGGCTAAGTCCTGAAATCTATGCTTTTCTCTCAATTCTGTTGTTTCTTCTAGGCTATTTTAAGAGGGTACCCAAGAAGCTTATGCTAGCTTGTCATCTATCAGAAGCAGAAAATGCTCTCTGATATTTTTCCCATGGTACACACTACATTTATATTTCCAAGATATGACTCAAAGATGTATCAGAAAATAGGAGATTAGGAGAAACTAGGTGTATGTAAATTCTAAGAAACTTTGATGGAAATAATATATTTCTTCAAATTTTAGCAAGAGATACATTTATGAAAGTAGGGTCAGCCTAGAAAATATACCTGTACAATGAAGCATTGATAACGTTTTACATTGCTGCATGTAAACATTAGCCTAAAAAAATCGAGCTAAATGATCATCAGTAGACAAGGGTTAGGTAAATAAATAATGGTTCATCCATGGGATGCTGCATGATTAGGATTAGTTAAAATGAGTTCAGTTGATCTCTTTATATAATTAATTCAAAGAATTTGCAAGGAATACCATTAAGTGAAAAGCAGCAGAAGAACCATTTTTTATAACAATATCATCTATGTAAAAAAAAGCAGCATCTATTAAATCAAGCCAGACATTTCTATCCATCGGTTGATTGATCTACCTACCTACCTACCTACGCAGCAAACATACCACACCATACTGACCTTTCTCAGAAGGAAAGTGGAATTGACAGGGAGGCAAATTTGTATTTGTATTGTATCACCTTTTTTTTTTGCAGTGAAAACATCAATTTACTTATTTAATTGCAAAAGCCATTGAAGGAAGGAAATTTAGACTCTAAACATACCATTCACTGAGTATTATCTTTCTTACAGAGAGAAAAGAGGTGTTTAAAGAAGTCCTGTCATGTCTGAACATAGATAGGAGCAGAAAGCTTCTGCCAGATGTTATCAAACAATACTCCTTAGATCGAGGGGAGAAGTGGATACCTAAGACTCCAGGAGACTTAGTTTGGAATTTCCTGATGAAAGTTCAGGCACTGGATGTGAAGGCCAGAGATTCAGTACTCACCCTCAGGGCTCTGGATGAGGACAGCAAAGGGGACTTGTTGACCGCAGAGGAGAATTTGGAAATCAGAGGTATCCAAGCCATTAACCCCCTTGACGTCCTTTGTGCTGCTATGCTGTGCGCTGATGGTTCTTTGCAACGTGAAGTCATGTCAAACATGTATCAGTGCCAGTTTGCTCTCCCCCTGCTGCTGCCAGATGCAGAAAATAACAAAGTCATCTTAATGCAAGGAGCCATGAGAGGCATCGTGAAGGAGTCAGCACAGGCATCCGGAGGGCCTCCAGAGGATACAGAGAAGCTTCTGGCACACACAAAGATGCCTGTTATTTCTTTTGTGCGTCTAGGCTACTGTAGCTTTTCCAAATCCAAAATCCTCAATAGGCTGCTTAGCTCTGCTGGACAGAAATCACACGAAATCTTTCTCCATTCGGATTTGCCAGCTCAGGTACTTCCCCGGCAAATCTCTGATGGCCTGGTTGAGATAACATGGTGTTTCCCTGACAGCGACCATCTAAAGGCAAACCCTAGTTTTTTTCAAAAGCCTGTTGCTCTAACCAACCTTCATGGAGATCTGGAAAGTTTTTGGACACAGTTTGGTTTCTTGATGGAAATTTCCTCAGCTGTGTTTTTTTTCACTGACTGCCTAGGTCAGAAGGAATGGGACCTGCTAATGTTTTTAAGTGAAGAAGCCATCGACAGATGTTATTTTGTCCTCAGTGCCCAGGCCAGGGAGAGTGAAGAGGCTGAGATTTTCCAGAGAATCTTGAAGTTGAAGGCAGCACAGCTACTGTTTTGGGAGGAGGAAGGGGCTGAGGAGACAGGGAAGAACATGGAATTTCTGCAAGCTGCCCTCCAGGAAGTGATGTCCTCTTCACTTACATGTGTGTCACTAGAGGACATGGCCTCTCTGGCCTGGGAGTTGGGGGTTCAGGTAGACCAAGACTTTGAGAAGAAGGAAGAAATTCCTATTGTCCTTAGTGAGGGTGTGGCTGCAATAGATGAAGATGAGAAAGAACAAAGACATGATGAGTCACAAAGTCCATCTGAAAGTTCAGTTGAGATGCCTGCAAAAGAGCCTTGTGGTCAAAATGTCCACATTATCCAAGTATTCATGCCTCAGCTGGCAATCTCCAATCCTGCACCACCCATACCAGGAGGTAACCTTAACTGTGTTTCCTGGCGAGCCCCCAGGGCCATGGGCTCCCCCTTTTGGTCAGGCCAGAGGTCAAAGTGGTTCCGGCCTTTGCCCTTTCAGAATCCAAGGGCCCCCAGTCAAGGTAAATGTTTTGGGAGATTTTACTCAGGTAAAAGTTTCATAAAATTTCCCCAACCTGATCAGGGATGTCACCAGACAGGAACCTTTGAGAGGCCACAAAGACACGTCTCTCAACACACGCAAGCCTGGCTTAAGAGACCACCCACAATGGGAGCTCTTCAGTGGTCTGAGGCAGCAGTTCCACAGGTGAGACACTCCCATTTCCAAGGTTCTCAGCCTGCAGGAGCAACTGGAAAACATACGAGAACACCATACCATATTAAACCTCATCCTCCAGCCTTCTCACCAGCCCAAAGCAAATTTGGACCCAGGTTTGAGTTCAAATCTAATCAGCCTAAGCCACCCCAGGTGACGCACCCCCAGCATAAACCCTCCCAACCTCAACCCACTCAAACAAAACCCACTCAGTCCCAGCTCTCCCGCACAAAGTATTTTCCATTAAAACCTGCTCAGCCAAAGTCATGCCAGCCCCCGTCCTCCCAACCTAAGCCTCCTCAGCCCCTGTCCTTCCAATGTAAACCTCGTCAGCCCCCCTCCTCCCAACCTAAGCCTCCTCAGCCCCCGTCCTCCCCATCTAAGCCATCTCAGACTCAGTCTTCCCAATCTAAACCTTGTCAGCACCACCCCACCCATGCTAAACCCTCTTCATCTAAATGTACCCAGCACCACCCATGTGGCAGCCAGTCCTCCCAGCCTAAGCTTTCTCAGCACAGACCCACCCAACCCAAGTCATCAAAGACGAGTCCTTCACAGGCTAAGGCATACTACCGAAAAGCAGGGCCAACGAGGGTAGGGAAACGTTAAACTTTACTTCAGAAACCTGTGGAGCATGTCCTTGCCCAGATATTCCTGAAGAAGAGTTGCAATGATGGTCAGCAACTGTCTTTAGCAAGACACAGACAAAAAGATATGCAAAGGCTAATTGTATCAGTAAAATATATGTAAGACTTATGTCCCTAATCAAGAGGGGAAAGTATGAGAAGTAAAACAGAATTAATCTGTACATGTTAATTGAATTCAGTATTAAGTAATATATAATCTGGATCCAGGGACTGGGGTTTATGAGACAATTCTACTTGGAAAAGAATAGTGTTGGGGCCTATATTTCAAGTTAACCATAAAATAGGCCCCAGGTTGTCTTAGTGTTGCAAGAAAAATTGCCCTAGCTGTAGGCTGCTCTAGAACTGCCTTGGTTAAAAAAAAAAAAGTGGTATGTACATAACCCTTTTTATTTGAAATGTTTAAATCAACTTGCTTGAACAATAAAGCCCAGTTTGTTTGGATGATAAAACTTTCATATGACCCTTACATGCACATAAGGTGAAATAAAAAGCAATAAAATTACTTTGCATCAACTTTAGGAATCATCTGTGTATATTTCATTTTTAAAAATATTTGCAAAATTTAACATATTAATAGAGCTAACATATTAACTTTATGAGTCCAACTTAAAATACAAAATTGAATTTTTAATTTTAGAGTTGTGATTTTTTAAGTCAAAAAGGTTAATAAAGGTCTCAGTATGTAAAATGCATAGCAAGGAGTATGCTTAGGAGAACTTAAGATTCACAGAATTTATAATTTAAAATTTTCAGGTTCATTACTGTTTTCAACATTTGGATAAGTTCTGCTAGTTAGAAACATTAAATAAAAGGAATCTATTAAAGATTTTTAAATGAAGTTTAATTAACATCTATTCAAATGATACAAGTTATAGTTAAAAAGGTCACTTTAAAGGTAGATGTTAAATTCACTAGATTTAGAAATAAAATAACAATAATTTATAAATTTATTTGAGAACCCTAGTTTTTACATTTGTAAATTATATAGAATATTAAGTTTTAAAGTAGCTTCATTTAGTCTTTTCTGGGTAAAAACAAAATATTGCTGTCAAGACACCAAAAGAATTTTTTTTTTTAAAGATTTATTTATTTGTGCATACAGAACTGGGGTACAGGCCAGAGGCTCAGGGGCGGTGAGAGGCTTCACCAGAGACAGAGTGGGGAACAAAACAGGCAGATCGACGAAGTACACTGCTGAGGGGAGCAGCGGGCGGGTCAGGAGAGGTCTGCCGCGCCATGTGGTCACCTCTGGGGCAGGCGGAAATTGAACTCTTGCGGAAGCGGCTTTAGATTCTCAGTGTTGTGCTTTAACCTGCTGCGCCACCAGGGAAGGCCCCAAAAGAAATTTTAATTCCGAATAAGAACTATTTTTTTATTTTTAATATAATAGTTTATTTTTACATCCATTTCCATCTCAGTTGTAATCCCCGTGGGCTTCCCATCACCAAATCACCAGTGTGCCATCACCATAGTCCATTGCATTTCTCCCCTGGCAACCGTTTTTGATCCCATTCTCCGTTCCACCCCCATAAAATGTCTCACGTATATAGTTGGAATAAGAACTAATTTATAAGGAGGATTTATTTTTCTCTGAGAACATTTCCATACAATAGGTTTCCCTCCTTTGCTGTGTATGTATTACACAATCAAAATTGAGTATTTGGATCTCTAAAAGTTACTGAAAGGGTAAAAAAAGAAAGAGATGACAATGCTTGTGAAATTTTCTCTTTCTTTTGGCAGGAGAAAGTGCATAATAACTGGTTCATAGTTGCAAAATCTTTGATGTAAAACTGAAGTTTGCCAATTGGAAATATAGTTCTTTTGTTTAAATTTTTGAAATGGCCAATAGTTTTGATTTTTTTTTTTTTAAACCTTTCTCTGAATCCTTTACGACTGGTTTCTGGATGAAAGAAATAATTGACTTCTTGTCACCAACAGATTCTGTCTTTCTGAGGCTCCTGGCACACAGACTTCTAATTCAAAGTAAACAGTTGGGGGGACTGTTTACAAAGGGCTGGGCAAGATGTAAAAAGCGCACGAAACAGCGTGGTACCCGGTGTAGTAAAAATAAGACTGAGTCCCCTCAGGTTTGGAGGGAGGGAGGATGTTTTCCTTGATGAGAAGAGCTATGTGGGAAGGGTCTTAATGTCTGCTTGGTGAAGGGGTTCAGCATGCTATGGGGGACACAGGGAGGAATCCCAAGGAGCAAAAGTCTACACCTCACCACTTATCTAGCAGCGCCTCTCTTTGGCCACACCAGAAACCAAAGAAGAGGACCACCACGTAGCCAGTTCCCATAAGTCTGCGTTTGAGGGTTCAGAGCAGGATGTAGCGAGGCATGGCGGGGCAAACCTTAGCCCATCCTGGTTCTCCTCAGAGCAACTTCAGTTTCTCTTGTTTACCTAATTTCTAGGCGAGTCAAATTATCCTTTCAAATATAGCATTCTCATGTCTGAAATGCCTTTTCCTCTTCCTTCTAAATAACAAATTAAGTGAAGACTTCAAACCACCCTATCTGGCAGAAACCTCTCTCTCTTTTTTTTTCCTCTTAAGAACTTTGCATTGTTTGTTATCTGTAAAGGTAATTATTTCCCTACTTTTTGAGGGAAAATATTCTGTTATCTGTATAAACCCCTTTAAAGGATGATAGCATTTCGTATGCAGGCTTTCGTTGGGTGTTTTTTTTTTTTTTTTTTTTTTTTTTTTTTTTTTTTTTAGATTTTTTTATTTGTGTATAAAGAACTGGGGTACAGGCCAGAGGCTCAGGGGTGGCGAAAGACTTCACCAGAGACAGAGTGGGGAGCAGAACAGGCAGATCAACTAAGTACACTGCTGAGGGGAGCAGCGGGAGGGTCAGGAGAGGTCTGCCAGGCCATGTGGCCACCTCCGGGGCTGGCAGGAATCGAACTCATGCGGAAGTGTTTTCAGCTTCTTAGTGCAGTGCTTTAACCCTCTGCGCCACCAGGGAGGGCCCTCATTAGGTGTTTTAATAAATGAGAGCTAAATTCGAAGTCTTTGAGGTGTTCTATAGTTGCAGCATACACTATCAACTGCATTCTCCTTAGATTCCCAGTGCTGCTGCACAATTTTTTTTTCTAAGTCTTCAAATGGTCTTGTGAGTTGGGCGTGGCCAGATAATTCCACCTATCAAAAACAATAAATTTAGAGAATAAAGGACTTCCCCAACGCACTGACATTTGCAAGGGCAGCGCTTCAGTTACCTGTCACTTTCTAGCCTGTTGCTCCTCTTTCCTGTGGTGCGAAGTTTCCTTACTGTCTTAAAGAAAAATGGGAGAAATCCACCTATTTCCCACTCATTTATTTCGCTGTAAAATTTAGGAAAATCATTATTATACTGCCATCTTCTGGATCTTTTGAGTGCTACCACATGAACGACAACAGATTTCTAAAATCAAATCTATCCCACTCTTTCTAACCTGGGTCTGAAATACTAAGTTTTGTGTAAAAATTAAAATTATCTTCTTTAATTAGCTGGAAAATTTCTTTAACAACTTAACACGTATTAAAAAACACCAACTGAATACAATCAAATATAGAGACTAAAAGTAACAGTATTCAGATGCCAGTTTTTGTAAAAAATAATAGTTTATTTTACATCATTTTGTGCCTTTTCTCATCTCAGTTGTAATCCCGTTGGCTTCCCATCACCAATCACCCTTGTGCCATCACCATAGTCCAGTGCATTTCCCTCCCCCACCGTTTTTTATCCCGCCCCCACTCCACCCCCATAAAATGTCTCTGGCATATAGTTGGTCATTATTATTATTATTTCCTCCTCTGGCCCTTTATACTCCTGCTATGATAAAATCATCAAGTATTTTTCCTTTTCTTTCTGGCTTATTTTACTAAGCATGTCAAATGCCAGTTATTTTTGTTTGGAGGGACTAGAGGGAAAATATTTACTCAAAATTTATACGTAATCTAGAAGCTACGTATGGCCATTAATTTTTACCTCTCCCAATGAGAGCTTTAAAGATTAATGTTAAAGACTTCTTGGGTAATATAAATGTTGCTTGTTGGAAGGACTATAAATTATTACAGAACTCTGAGAAGGCAATTTAACAGCCTATATAAAAAATAAAAGTAAAATACATCTAACTTCTGACCCAGAAGATTGACTTTATAAATTTATCCTATATAAAAAATAAAAGTAAAAT